GTCCCAGCTACCCGGGAGACTGAGGCAGGAGGATCGCTTGAGCCCAGGAGTTTGAGGTTGCTGTGAGCTAGGCTGACGCCACGGCACTCTAGCCCGGGGAACAGAATGAGACTCTGTCTCAAAAAAAAAAAACAAAAAGACCAAACCACTGTGGACATTAAACATTGACATAAACATGCACTGTACATACAGTTAAGAAAGATTAATGAAAACAAGTAAGATAATTATTTACCCATTTATTCCAATTTGGGGTCGTGGGTGGCCAGAGCCTGTCCCCGCAGCTCAGGCTGCCAGGTGGGAGCCGGGCCTGGGCGAGGCTCTGTCCCACCGCAGGGCACGCTCCCACACACGCACCCACGACGACAGATCGATTCACCTAACGGCACACCTCTGGGATGCGGGAGGGGACGAGCACCTGTGCAGACGTGGGGAGAACGTGCAGCCCCGGGAAATGGTTTCTTTTTCTCATCAACATTTTAACAAAACGACGTTGTTCGAGGACCTGCTGTGTCGCGTGTGCCAGGTGCTTTCTGTAAACCCTCTTGTTTGACCTCAGCAACCCCACTGGGCGGCTGCATTCACACCCGGAACCGGCTCAGAAGGACTAAGAACCCGCCAAAGGCGCCTGGGCCAGGCGGCGGGACGACACCTCGGCTGCCCTGTCATGGAGGTGAGTCCCGCCTGGCGGGGGTGCTGGGGTGACACAGCTTCCCGTCGGGCTGCACTGGCCCGCTCCGGTGTCACCGGCTGCTTTCCTCAGGCACAGCAGGGCGGGCCACACAGGAAGGGCCCAGGGGAGGGTCTGATGACTAACGACGCACAGGAGATGAGTGCGGGGGCGTAAGAGACAGGGCGAGGGGGAATTAGCCACCCTCCGCACGGTGGCACAACGGCAGGTCCCTGCCCGTGGGTCCCTCACGGCAGCACTGTTCATGGCTTGAGTGCAGGGCTCTGCCTGTGTCCAGATCTGCCCCAATGCTGCCCAGGTGTGGCACCTTGGACGGTGGCTAATTGCCCGTGCCTCAGTTTCCTCATGTGTAAAAGGAGGAAAACATTAACAGCAGCGACTCCCTGGGAGCCTCACGAGGGCAGGGGCTGGTCAGTGCAAGCCAAGCGCCTCGAGCCGGGCTCAGGAAGCCTTGCCACCGTCGTCACTCACAGCCTGTGTCTGCCACACGGGGAGACGGCCCTGGGCTGATGAGGGACGAAGCCCCTGGCCGCAAGGAAAGCCCCATGATGGAAGCCTCTCTGTTCGGTGGGCAGATGTATCCTGGCACGGGGAGCAGCCTGGTGGGGTGGGGCTACTGCTGTGTCACCTGCCTCTCCAAGGACAGCTCCTGGAAGCAGGGCCTGGGCTTCACTCTGCGGGAGGCCATCTGTGTCCCTGCTCCTGAGGACACAATGCTGTCCCTTGTTCATGCCACAGACACTTCCTGGATGTCCTCCAGGAGGTCCTCTCCCGTACCTGGTGGGGGTGACAGGTGTCCGGACGATGCCAACTGACAACCTGGCGGGAGGGCTGGGACACTGAATGCAGGGGGACCCAGGGAGCACAGAGCAGGGCAAAGCCAGCACCAAAAAGCGCAGCCCGCCATGAAGGAAGCTCAAGCCCAAGGGTGGGCTGGCGAGACAGCGGGGGCAGGGCCTGCAGCCCAGGCTGGCGGGTGCATTCCCCCCTGCGGGCAAGAGCAGCCAACCCGAGGGCCAATGCGACACATGTTGCCTGAATGCCGGCCACTGGGGAGCACAGACAGTCGCTGCCCTGCTGGAGCTGGCGTTCTAGGCGCGGAGCTGGCAAGGACTGAGGATGCGATGGGCGGCTTTGCTGCAGGCGCGGTGGCTGCCAAACAGGAGGAAAGCTGTGCTGGGAGCGCTGGGGTGCCCGTCTGCGCTGCGTCTGAAGGGACAGGAGCAGCAGGCTGGGAAGCACTCCAAGCCCGGGTGGCAGCCAGCACCTCGACCCCCAGAGGGGTGAGCTGGGCCGGGGGCATGGAGGGAAGTCTGGAAGCATTTCCAGCAAGATCACGTTTTCCTTCCATGGACTGCAGACTGCCTGGGTGTGGAACCTGGCTCTACCACCTACAGGGTGCATGACCTCGGGCAGTTACCTAACTGGCCCGTGCCTCAGTTTCTGCACATGTGCGACGGGGCTAATGGCGGTCCCTACTCACAGAGGTGGCGTGACTGGCACGTGGCAGCAGCTTGATACACAGCTGTCGTGACTGTTGGCCCCCCTGTAGCCTGGGCCCACTGGGTATCTGCTGAACCATAAAGCCTGGGAGTGGCCAGGCTACGGGCAATAATGGCAGGAGGGACAGGAAGAGGAAGTGGGCAGGGCTGGGCAGAGGATGAGCAGGTGACAGGGCAGAGAGGAGGAAGGGAGACGCGCCCACCTGCCTCCATCACAGCCTGTCTCCCCAGCAGACAGACAGACGTCTCTGCAAAAACTCTTCAGAGATGAGGGGTTTGTCACTCTTAAGAACAAAAGGGCTCGCCAGGTAGGAACGCTCCACTCCCATTCATGTGGCTGCCACAGCCCAGCCCCGAGTCAGTGCCTGTCTGCGGCTCACCCCGCCACCTCTGCTGAGTTTACACAACAACCGACTGGGAGGAAACGAGATAATGCAAGGAAGAGAGGGGAACCCTCAGAGAAGCCTTATCAGCGTCGGTACCGACGGCATCCACCAAACAGGAAGGAACAATCAGACACAAAGGAAAGTTCCTGGAAATGAACAACATGGTGGCCAAAATAAACACTTGTTAACAAGGGGCTGAATAATAGACAAATCTGTAACATAGATAACACCTCCCAGGGTGGTGAGAAAAAACACGAAGTAAAAGAAAAAATGAGAGCAGAGCTATAAAATGCATAGAGGTGATCCAGAGAGTCTCGTAGTCATCTGAGCGCCCAAAGGACACACGAGGAACAATGTATTAACAGAAGAAATAACCAAAGAGATAATAAGAGAAAAATGTCCTGAGCTAAAGGAAGATTCGCGTGTTCAGACTGAAAGGACCACGGAGCTCCAAGGAGGATGAATGAAAAATAAGCAAACCACTCTGGGCCCAATGGCTCACGCCTGTAATCCTAGCTCTCTGGAAGGCCAAGGCGGGCGGATTGTTTGAGCTCAGGAGTTCGAG